TATCAAACTTTGGGTGTTAGATATGTAAATACATAAGAGTTGTATGGTAAATACGTAAATTTCTCTTAATTTATATTTGACACCTCATTTTGCTCGTAAACAGGTATGTTCCCTCACATTTGCATCTTATGCTATTTGAGTTGGTTAAGAACTCTTTACGTGCGGTTCAGGAACGTTTCATGGATTCTGATAAAGCTGTTCCTCCTATAAGAATTATTGTTGCTGATGGTATAGAGGACGTTACTATAAAGGTATTCTTGTAATAGTTTTCTTTTTTTTAATTTCGATTTATATTTGTAAGAACACCTGAATAGGTTGATCTCTCCTTCTGCTTTATCACTTAATGCTCCATGAATTCTGGATAATGACTGAAACTTTTCTCTGCAATTGTCATTCCATGATCAGATCTATACCCATTTTGTTTCTTGTTATCTTTTTTGTGCGATTACGTACAGAAAACCCGAAACTTGTTATTTATAAATCAACCACCCTCTTTCATCCATTTTCTCACCTTGAATATCAGAATTCATGGTAAAACCCCAACCCATATATTTTTCATTTTTATTAAATTCTCAATAGTTTGATCGTGGCACACATAAATACATCGATTTGGTAGTTCAAAAAAATCACCTGGGCGGTTAATTTGTAAATATTAATGTTTCGGCTGTCCTATATGTAATTATCCTTTTCTTTTTTATTTTGACGCCGAAAATGCTTGATCAATTTCTAATTGTTCGAGGGCAAAAAGAAAAAAAAAAATCATCAATGCTTTTGGAGCTGACTTGTTTTTCGAGTAAAAATCTTGCTATAGTTTGATCATGACACACAAAAGTACATTAATTTGGTAGTACAAAAAATCAGGTTGGTGCTAGTTTTGTAAATGACAACGTTTTGAGTGTTGTGTATGTAACTATCTAGAAATTTCTGTGCTTATCATGTACATTTTGGTTTCTTTGCCAAACTTTATATATTGCATCGATGTTTGATGCCTATGATTGTACTTTTTGTAATTTTAAATGTTTCTTTTAATGTTAAGCTCATGTTTCTTTGATGATACTCTCTTACTACACTCTTTTTCATCTATTTAATTTTTGGGGCAATTACATACATACCATACAATTCTTATGTATCTACATATCTAACACCTATATCTTCATATTTACTTGCATACCACTCAAATCCTTAACAACGCATCAAAAATTTCACCATCACTACTTTTTTGAAAGTGAATACTCCCTTTCATGCATAGGTTACTATCAAACTTTGGGTGTTAGATATGTAAATACATAAGAGTTGTATGGTAAATACGTAAATTTCTCTTAATTTATATTTGACACCTCATTTTGCTCGTAAACAGGTATGTTCCCTCACATTTGCATCTTATGCTATTTGAGTTGGTTAAGAACTCTTTACGTGCGGTTCAGGAACGTTTCATGGATTCTGATAAAGCTGTTCCTCCTATAAGAATTATTGTTGCTGATGGTATAGAGGACGTTACTATAAAGGTATTCTTGTAATAGTTTTCTTTTTTTTAATTTCGATTTATATTTGTAAGAACACCTGAATAGGTTGATCTCTCCTTCTGCTTTATCACTTAATGCTCCATGAATTCTGGATAATGACTGAAACTTTTCTCTGCAATTGTCATTCCATGATCAGATCTATACCCATTTGGTTTCTTATTATCTTTTTCGTGCAATTACGTACAGAAAACCCGGAACTTGTTATTTATAAATCAACCACCCTCTTGCATCCATTTTCTCACCTTGAGCATCAGAATTCATGGTAAAACCCCAACCCCTATATTTTTCATTTTTATCAAATTCTCAATAGTTTGATTGTGGCACGTGTAAATACATCGGTTCGGTAGTTCAAAAAAATCAACTGGGCGGTTAATTTGTAAATATTAATGTTTCGGGTGTCCTATATGTAATTATTCTTTTCTTTTTTGTTTTGACACCGAAAATGCTTGATCAATTTCTAATTGTTCGAGGGCAAAAAGAAAAAAAAACATCAATGATTTTGGAGCTGACTTGTTTTTCGAGTAAAAATCTTGTTTTCTTATGTATTTACATATCGTTTTCTTATGTATTTAGATATCTAACGCGCAAAGTTTAATATTTATATGCATTGCACTTAAATCTTTAAAATCACTTCAAAAATACCACCATCATCTACTTTTTAAAAAAGTGAAATACTTTTCATTCATAGGTTTGTCACACCAAAGTGTTATAAATGTAAACATGGGAGTTTAGGTGTTTAATATGTAAATACATAAGAATTGTGTGTTATGTATGTAAATTTCCCTTATAATCTCTTACAGGTTTTTTTTTACGACTACAGATTTCAGACGAAGGAGGTGGCATTCCTAGAAGTGGACTTCCAAAGATATTTACATATTTATACAGCACTGCAAAAAATCCATTAGATGAAAACCAGGAACTGAGTGAAGCAGTTATCATGGCCGGATATGGCTACGGCCTTCCGATCAGCCGTCTCTATGCTCAATATTTTGGTGGCGATCTGCAAGTCATCTCTATGGAAGGCTATGGTATGCCCAACACCTTACTGGAATGGCCTAATCTCCTAAATTTTCTTAATGATTTACATACATACCACTCGATTTATATGTATTACATATCTAACACCTAAGCTTCAATTTTTAAATACATGCCACCTTATCTTTGAATGAAGAGGTGTATTTAACTTTTAAAAACTTAAAATTGTGATTTTTTTTAATGTGATATGAAAGATTTGGGCGGTATAAATGTAAAAATTAAAGATTAGGTGTAGATATGTAAATACATAGGAATTTGGTGTTATATCTGTAAATGCTCCTTGTTATTTTAGAAGTTCCAATGCCATTTGGAAAAAAATATGTGTTTTCAAAAAACATATTAATTTAATTTTGAAAATACAAAATAAAATTTATCCCAACCAAGTCCTTATAATTTATGGAAAAAAATATTACATCAGGACTCCGCACGTAGAGTTACGTGCGGAGTCTAATGAAATCACGTCACGTGGAGTTATAGAAGTAACACAACGAAATATTTCTCCCGTGTTATTATTCCGTGTTATTCATGAGTTATTATATATTATTGAGGTGTTATTGTATTCTGAGAATATTTCCGGTGTTATAATAACACAATAACACTTGAATAACACACAATAACACTTGAATAACATACAATAATACCTGAATAACACGGGAGGAATATTCCCTTGTGTGATCGGGCGAATTTTATTTTATTTTTCCTATCACCGCCACGTAACGTGATTTCATTGGACTCCGCACGTAACTCTACGTGCGGAGTCTTGATTCAATATTTTTATATTTTTATTAATTTATGTATATACTTCTTGCAGTCAATTTCTTGTTTTAATGGGAAAGCAAAAATGTAATTGTATAGCTCCAGTATTTGACTCTTTATCTTGATTTTTTTTTTAATTAATTTGCAGGAACTGATGCTTACCTTCATTTATCTCGGCTGGGAGATTCGCAAGAACCACTGTCATAAAGCTCAAGCAAACCGGTCCATTCCTTCTGTGGAAGCCATTTTAGCCCGCACTGGAAGCTTTTAGCCCGAACTGAAAGCTTATTTATGCAATTCGAAAAAAAAAAATTCATAAGATTTATAAAATGGACCCTCTTCAATATTTAATTTACCTTTTTAGCCCCGAAGTTGATTGAGCTTCTTTGTACAGTAGCATCTTGTGGGTTTGAGAAAAATAAGCTGTGATTTGTTCTTATCAACATTAAATGCTCTTTAATTGGTCATTTCTCTTTTGTTGTATGGGATGATCTCCACTTTGAAATGCTTTTTATCCTATTATTATTATATAGGTGCCGCCCTATTCCTATGTATTTACATATTTAATAGCTCAATTTTATCTTTTTATATTTATGCGACTCGAAACCTTTCATATTACATCAAGAAGATCACCATTTTAATTTGTAAAATGGGAAATATATCTCTCTGATATGTGGGTAAGGTGGCATGCTTGTAAAAACTATAGTTCAGGTGTTACATGTGTAAATACACAAGAATTGGGTGGTTGGTATGTAAATCTTCCTTTTTAGTTTTTGTTTTTATTTTGTTGTAGTGCAACAATCATGGTTTTGTTAGATAGCCGAAGGTGTAGTGCTCTAGGCCAATGAGTAATGTGTTTAATAGAAGAGAAAATATTACGACAATGCAAAGTTGTCGACTAGTCATGCAGAGATGTCGCCCGACCATTTGATCGTATGCATGCAGATGACTGGACGTAATATTTTTTTCCTAATCTAGGTTCTTTTGATATGATAACAATGTTTCTGCTTCAATTTCTTTTATCCAATATGGCTATTTCTCTGCGCCAATACGTAAGGAAGTTATTAGAGGTCAATTTTGTATTTTTCTTATTTTAATTTATTTTGTTTATATTTTAATTGGAAATAACATTTGTTTGATGGCTTGAAAATATTTTTTTTATTAAATATTGAATAAATTGATTTATATAATGTGACATTAATGGCTAATGAAAGTAAAGTGATGGTTAGTAAGGTAATAATAGTGGCAAATACATTAGTGGTTGAAGGTGAGAAGCAATTTTATTATGCGGAGTCTTCATTCGATCAATTGTTATTTAAGGACATGTAATTTTGCTGATTAAGGGTCTGTTTAGGGCATCTGCAGCTTATTTATAAGCGGTTGATAAGCAGTTGATCTGGATAAACAAGTTGGTTGTTGGTTTGTGCTGTTGAAAATAGTTATTTCTGGATAAATAATAATTATGTTCATGTGCAGTAATATTTTTTGCAACAGAGCTATCATAGCAATATATTTGATACTTGAGAAACAAAAAACTACTTCATAACAGTACAAAAAATAAGATACACATCTCAATTAACAATGTGTATCAAGATTGCTATAAAAAAAGAGAAACTATTAAAATTATAATTAAAAAATATGATAATATTAATTTTTAAATCCAGACGGCATATGTCACGAGCTGCGTCGTCCTCCAGGGATACCATCCAACCTCGATCACTATCGGCAGTAGAATCTGTCGACTGTCTGCCCACCAGAAGAAGACACACTTCTTCGTGATAACCCCATGGGCACCTGTAGAACTTTCTCTAGTAGTTATGCGCCTGACGTGACATTAGTAAGGAACTTTATAGTTTATAGTGGCAGAGCACTCGTCGGGAGGTTCCTTGAAATCTTGAAGCTCATCTTCCTTGAATGATTCAAAAGACAATCCATTAGTCATAACACAAGCATAAATTGACAAATGCAGTAATCAATTACATTTTTTTTGCGGGCACGAGGTCTCAGATAACAAGTACACTAACCCAAGTGAACCTGTCACAATAAGAAGATAGTATACCGTATAATGTAGGGGTTCATGGTTGCCTTTATCTCACTTCATATCAGTTGTGTGTATGACATATGCATACCACCAAAAAAAGGCCATCTAGATGTACCTCAAAAACCTTAGCATCAAAAAGAAAAAAGGAATATCGTTGCCTTTATCAGGATTTCACATGTGATATCGACCAACAGTGATTAACTGGCCATCCAGACGTACCTCAAAAACCCCAGCATCGAAAAGAAAAGAGAAACTTGGTTGTCTTTTTCAGGATTACACATGTGACACCAACCAACAGTGATTAACAGACCATCCAGAATAACCCAAAAGTTTGAACTTCTTATCATGGACCTCACAAGCCAAAAAAAAAAACGAAAATGAATCAAAAAATAAGAAAAAAACAATTATAAACATCATAAAACTTAAAATATCTAATATATCAATATTACATGGAAAATAAAATAAACATGAACATGATAAAATAAATAAGAATCGGCTAATCAACATCCAACAATAGTATTGGTAATCAACTCTCGCAATTGAATAATTTATGCAACACTTTTGTCATCCTGGGTGTAACCTTACGGTGACTCTGTCTTTAACTGTGGTATAGATTGATATACGTGAAATTCAAATGCTTCAAGCAGGACCTACATGTGATCATCAAGCCCCACACAACACACAGCCACACACACACCCACAACCACAACACACATAGCGCACACCTACAACCCCAACACAGCACACAACCACACACACACTCTAAACCCAACGCAACCACCACATACACATGATACCACACGAACAACCCAACACAACACACATCCACACACAACCTGAAACCAACCATATAGCACACACCCTAAACCTAACACAACACATAGCACACACCCACAACCCCAACACAACCACCACCCAACCAAGCCCTACACAACGCACAGCCACACACACCCCCATAGCCACAACATACATAACACACACCCACAACCCTAACACAACACACAACCACACACACACCTTAAACCCAACACAACCACCACACACACATGGAACCACACAAATTGCCCAATACAACACACATCCACACACACACCCTAAACCCAACACAACAATAACACACACCCGAACCTCCAACACACCCACCACCCAACCAAGCCACAAACAACACATAACCATACACACACTCACAACCACAACACACATAGTACACACCCACAACCCTAACACAACTCACGACCACACACAAACTCTAAACCCAACATAGCCACCACACACACATAGCACCACACAAACAACATAACACACATCCACACACACGCCCTAAACCCAACCACATAAACACACACCCTAAACCAACACTACATGTAACACACACAAAACCTCAACACTGCCACCACCCAATCAAGCCCCACACAACATACAACCATACACACACACACAGTCAAAACATACATAGCACACACCCACAACCCCAACTTAACACACCCACACATATACCCTAAGCCCAACACAACCACCACCCAACCAAGCCCCACATAAACAACCCAACACAACACAAACCACAACACATAGCACTGAAGTCCAACCACACACAACCACACACACACCCATAACCAAATACATCAGAATTGTATGTTATACATGCAATATTTAAGCCCACGGACAAATATAAACACCATATATAGCTACACACCCACAACCAAATACAACCACCATATAGATGCCCACAAACCACACACAGCCACCCACACAGCCACCACCCAAGACCAACACAACACATAGCACACACACAACCCAACACAGCCACCACCCAACCAAGCCCCACACAACACAACCATACACACACCCACAAAAACCACACACACACCCACAACCACAACACACATAGCAACCAAATACATCCGAATTTCCCCAGCACAAAACACAACCACACACACCCTAAACCTAACACAACCACCACCCAATCAAGCCCCACATAAAAAGCTCAACACAACACAAACCAAAATACATAACACCCAAGGCCAACCACACACAACCACAAACACACCCACAACCAAATACATCATAATTGTATGCTAGACATGTAAATTTTAACCCCAAAGTCAAATATAACCACCCTATACAACCACCACACACACCCACAATCATATGCAAACACTATATAGATGCCTGCAAACCACACACAACCACCTCCCAACAACACATACATCTAATTGCAATGGAGATTCGTGCAAAGACACAAGATAACAACCTCATTCACCCCAATTCACTATCACTCATTCTCCAAATGATCCAAAAATAAAAAAAAATCTCACAAAGAAAGCCATTTTATTGGAAAACCGCATAGAGATGACTATTCCATTGAAAAATTGCCACAAATTGCATATAAAAAAGCATTCCATCGAAATTACTTATAAGCACAATAACCAGAAATCAGGGGGAGGAGGAAGGGGTGAAAGACACCACTAATTGTGAGGTAGGAGCAACCGAGGGAGAGAGGTGAGCGAAGAGTTACCTAAGGCAGAACAAGGGTTGAGCGAGGAGACCGATCAACAGAAGGACATGGGAGTAATAAATGAAGTTAAGGACACGAGCTGTAGAAAACGAATTGAAACAGTTGTTCCGAATAAACAACCCAAACGCACGAAACAAGAACTCCTTCGACATTTTCAAAATATCAAACACATTTATAAGCTGCCACAAACGAGGCCTAAGTTTGATGATGAAATTTTTATGGAGTATGGGAGGGTTGAGCCTTTTTATTGGGTTTGAAAATGTTGCCCTCGAATTTTTTTTCTTACACATAGCATCAGTTCCGAGACTAGCAATGCCTTCACAGTAGGAAGATAGTGTCTCTACGCCTAGTTCAGTTTTAGAACCCAACAGCATCACGATGTAGCTCCCTAATGCAAACATCGTGGCACAAAGAAGCTAATAATTAATTTTGGGCAATTTTTTTTAATTATTTTGTTAGTTCTGTTGATGGGTTTGAGTTGAATATCAAATTCTCTTGTGCTAAAGAGATGATAAAAGTGTCATGGGATATTCTAAAGTTTGAAGAGACTTGAGTGTAGTGTAATTTGTACAATTCTTCTCATTTCCTTCATAATGAATTTCTTGGTGCAGTGTAACTAAGTGTTTTTTTTTTTGTCTCAACTTTTCCACATTAAAATTGTGTTTTTTGTTGTTCATCTCTCAATAAACAACGAAGATCATAGCGGTCAAATAGTGGTGAGTGGTGAGGAATGGTTAACTACTATAATAAGTACTAAAAAAAGCATAATTATTAAAAAATATTTTTAATAATTGATTTATTTTTGAAAATAAAAATTAATCATATTAAAAATATATTAAATAAATATGTTTATATAAATAGAAGCTAAACAAAATCTTAAACAGGTCCTAAATATGATTCTAAGCTGCATTTGAATTTTCTCATTATCTCAGGGCACAGGCTTTGGTGTTTTTGGGTTTTTCTTCCTGTGCCTACACACACACACACATATATACATATACATATATATATAC